CCTTATTCTCAAGACGAGGCTTCCACTTTCAGAGGGATCTAACAATAATTCCTCACACTTGTGGGAAGTTTCCAACCCTACTCATTGCTTCACACTTAATCGGGCTCCTCCCCAGCCCCACGCACATCTTCAGTCCTTTCCTGTCCTGAAAACACCTGCTCTCCTAACTGCTGCCCAATTTCCCTCCATTTCTTCTCATCAAGAGCACCTCCCAAGATTTCACAACTGTTGCCATAACCTGTTCCCAGAAGTCTTGACCCTGGAATAGTATAAAGTACTTACGCTTCACCCACTTACTCCCAGCCCCTAGGCTCTGCAACCCACTGCAAGAAGAGGCTCCTCCTTAGGGAAGCTGCCCGCCCCCAACCCCCCACAGCTCCACCTCAGGCTTCACCTGCCACGCTGGTTCCTGCTCTTCCTACCACAGCCCCCACCCCACCCGCATCACTGTGAATGCTTTCTCCCATGCCTACCCCAGGCCCTGGGCTACCCTCATCTCATTTCTGGGAACACATCCAATTTCACAATTTCAAGTGTCCCTTCTATACCTAAGACAAGGCCAAAGTCCTTGGCCCTGAGGCCTTAACCGTCCCCACCCTGAGATCCAAGCCTCCCGATGCCCTCGCCCTCCTGTGGCATCTTTCGCAGCCCAACTCCCCTGCTAACATTTGCACCAAAGCAGCGGGGTGGTGCTCAGAGGCCACAGGCTGTTAGCTTCACTCTGTGATTTCTCCTCAGTAGACCTCCCTGGCCTGTCTCATAGGATAATGTAATTAGCACTTGAAAAAAAAAAATCCACAACAAAGAGGATTCAAGTTCCCCTTTTCTGCCAGACATTGCCATATCCCCGCTCCCAGGAAAGCTCTGGAGTTTGAACTCCTTTAAATTTCTACCATTGCCCCCAGGCCCTCAAGCCTAGATGGCCAGAATCCTTGCTAGGTTCGCCCACCCTCCACACCGCTGTGCATCCTCACTCCCACCAGGTCACAGTCCTGATGCGGTTACCAGGCTTTGATTCGTGGCCCCACCTGGATCTCTGCAACCTTTTCTTTCCTTAACAACCGACTCAGTTGGTCCACTCAGTCTGAAAGTTTCCAGCTCCGTGCCGCAGTTCTTCACTTCCTGTTTTCCTTTCCACCTACCTAAACCTTGCCCATCCTTTACGTCCCAACCGCCTTCAAGGCTTTTCTAACTCTGGAGCCTGAACCCCACACTGACTTTTCCTGTTAATATGCCCACAGAAACCCTTGAGGCTGGAATACTGCTCTAGGTTTCCTTTCACTTTTTAATGGAGCACAACTGACCCTTTCCCCATGTCATATTCCTTTGCTAGAACTAAAAGCATTGCACTTGAGTGTCAGAATTGCCCGAGTCCACATGCAGGATAAATTTGGACCTCCCCAAGCGGCAGTCCTCCTCAGCAGTTAAGATGAGCTTATAGGTAATACTTACCTCACAGAATTGTCACTGAGGATTAAATGAGATACTAAGTGAAAATACCAAGCAGCCTCTGGCACAGAACATGAAAAATATTGGCTGAAGGGTGGGCTGGGCTTTAATCACAGCTTGATGTAAGAGAGCAATACTTGCAATTTTTAACATTTTAGGCAATACTGAAAGCTTAGGGGTACTATTTGCTACCCTGTTCAGGGTTTCTCATTTAAAAACCCTACATTGTTCTCTGCGATTAAGGAAAACATTTGTTTCTTCTGATGAGTAAGCGTAATTCCTTTTATGTGACAGTGGGAACTATACAACCTTCAGCCAGCCTCATTTCTGCTGTTGGCTTCTAGGAAGCCTAGAGCAAGGTTTTTTGTTTCTTTTTAAATTAATTTATTTTTGGTTGTGCTTGGTCTTCACTGCTGCACGCAGACTTTCTCTGGTTGCAGTGAGTTGGCGGTACCTTGGCTTCTCACTGAGGTGGCTCCTCTTATTGCAGAACACGGACTCTAGAACACAGGCTCAGTAGTTGTGACATACAGGCTTAAGTTGCCCGCTGCATGTGGGAACTTCACAGATCAGGGATTGAACCTGTGCCTCCTGCATTGGCAGGTGGATTCTTAACCACTGGACCACCAGAAGTCGCAGGGCAAGGTTTTATCCTCAATAGCAGGTTTCCTCGCTGACCTGCAGGAGGCAGTGTTGGGTGGGAAGAGAGCAAGGGCCCCGGGGCTGAAGATGAGGGCTGGGTAACCTTCCAGGCCCTCTGAGCCATAGTCCCCTCTCTTGCCTAACGGGAGAAGGACCAGGAGGAGGACAATAACTATTTAACAGGACTGCTTGAGACAACTGATAGACTGTCCCAAAAGTCATGTGATAACATGATTATTTTCCCTCCTAATACTTGCATCTTATCTTTTAAACTTTGTTTTGCAGTTTTTACACCTGTTATCTCTTAATCTGCTGTTATCTTTTCTGGAAGTATGCAAAAGTGTTAAGTCACTCAGTTGTGTCTGACTCTTTATGACCCCATAGACTGTAGCCCGCCAGGCTCTTCTGTCCATGGAATTCTCCAAGCAAGAACACTGGAATTGGTTGCCATTCCCTTCTTCAAGGAATCTTCCCAAACCCAGGGCTGGAAGTATACAGAATACAAATAAAAAACAAAATTATTCCTAGAGAGAAATATCCCTGATGGCAAGAAACCACATCTCTCACTTGTCCTGTATAACAATTTGCAATAGAAAACCATTTAGCTATAGAAAGAATGTTTGGCTTTCATTCTTATTTGAAGGTCAAGGGAGACACTTCATACTGAACTGTTACAATAAGCTGAACTGTAGTACAGACTGAGAACAGTCCAGAAAGGGGCTCTTGATTAGTGATTTAGTCATTCATTCTTTCTTTCATTTATCAAAGATCACCCTGATGCCTACTAAGGTCCAGGCATGCTGCTAGACGCTGGAGAAACAAAGCAGACTGATCCAAACACCAGCGCCCACTCTCAAGGGGCTCCTGTGCAGGGTGGAGGGCGGGTATGTAAAAAAAAAAATAGTTCCACTGGAGGATACTGCCTGGGGTGGACAGAAGAGGTGGCATTTGGGGATATGTGGGATTTCTATAGACAGAAGAGGGGAGAGGATTCCAGGCAGAGAAAACATACTGGATTGCCCCCAAGTGGTTCAGTTTGCTCAGAGAAGAAATAGGCTAGAGACTCACAAAAATAAGAAGAGCCTGGCAGCCTCCAAGATGCCCATGGCCAGGAAGCGAGGGCTTTGGAAACATCACAGACGTGACATATCAACCTGACTTTTTGCGACATGGCTCTGAATTACAAGTTGCAGTGTTTAATGATTACTCATCTTGTGGATACAGGACTTGGCCCTGCAGGTGGAGACCATCTGCTGCTGGAGGTATTCATAGATGGCTCGTATGGACACAGGCCAGCAGGGATGTTGAGAAAGGGAGTCCAGTTGTGGACCAGGGCTGGACTAAATGACCACTAATGTTCCTTCCAAATCAGAGATTCCATGATTCTAAAGCAAGCCCGGTAGCTGAACCGGGGCTGTGGGCTGGGCTCTGTGGTTAGGGAGCTGCCCTGGGCAGCAAATGGGTTAAGGCTCAAATAACTTTTATATATAAATTAATGTGTAGAGTTGGGAGCCAAAATCTGTTCCATTAATTTTTCCATCCATTCCAGGAGCAGTTAGGTACACACAGTAAAGTTTATTTTGGTGCATGGTATACTTCACTCCATTAAAAATAAATTAATCAGCAAATTCCTGCCTGGCTCGGCTCTGGTTTATGTAAATAGTGCCCAGCTGTAATGAGTTACAAGGTGTTATTATCTCACACACACAGAGGAGGCTTCACTCTGGAGCTCTGCGTGCAACAAAAGCATCTTAAATAAACTCAGAGAAGGCCATTTGATTTGTAATGTTTTCACAGAAGTGGGATATACCTCATCCATATAGAGTTTCTTTATATGACTCATTTTATAGCAAGTTAAATGAAGGAAGTTTGAAGGGGGGGAGGGAGGGGCGATATGGTTCTCCACCCCCTTCTTCAATTTAAAGAAAACCCCCCCAAAGATGACCCACACTCAGGGGGAGGAGACTAGCCCTCAGGGGCTCAGAGCACGGTGGCTCTGCAGCACATGCTCCAGAAGCTAGGAAGCGGGTGGAAGGCTGAGCACAGAGCCGGATCCTGGGGTGGTGCGATGAAGCCAGGAAGCGTTCTCTTCCCCCCAGTATCTCATGTAAGGGGAGCCAAGGGAGGAAAGACAGCATGACTCTACCCCAGTCCACTGGGGGCATGTGTGACAAAGGCAACTGTCCTGAGGCCTCAGGATGTGACAAGTCCCCTGGCCAGACAGGCCTCCTGGGTCCCCGAGGACGGGGTTGGCAGGAGATGCCTTGGCCAAAACAGTGACATCTCTGTGAACTGGAGACAGAAGCAGCAGCAGAGACCCCACCCGAACCTCTCCTGCTCCTGTCTCTAACTGAGCTGGGCAGTGCTTCTCAACTCATGGCCTCTGCCACCTCAGGTGTGTTTCTATAAGACCCGGGAATAAACAAGAGCCATGGCAGAGAGACATCTCTGGGTCTTTTAATGGCCAACTCAAGCTCACGGCTCAAAGCTGGAGAACAGCGTGTGGTTACCCAGCCTGATTCAGCAGCATTGCTCACTGCTTCTAGGCCATGGTGGGTCCTTGGGGGAGGCAGCTGTCCCCTATCAAACCTACCCCCTTTTCCCTTCGGTGGTCAATCACAAGGTTTCTGGAGGGCACTTGGGGAGCATGTGCAGGGCTCCTGCTTAGGGCTTCTCTTGAGGGAGGGGACACCTTAGAAGGGCTAAGGGTTCTCCCAGCACTGTACCCCACCCGATCAGACTCCTGGGCATACTAAGAGGAAAATCAACACAAATGGGGCCAGGTATTTGACAGATGCTGTTCAAAGGTCCGTTCAGGCCACTTCCTGCAGGATCCTGAGCCAAACAGGCACCTCTCTTCTGGCAGTTCCTCAAAGCTAGCTGGCCAGTTGTTCAGAGGGACCAGCCCATCAAAGACCCTCATCGTTATAAGTTGGGGAATGAGGCTTCAGGATGCTCTGAGGATTCTTCTCCACTAGAGGGCGCCAGCTGACCTCCCCTGTCAGAAGCAGATCCTCACCGTTCATGGAGTCCAGGTACTGTATCTGCAACCAGATGAGAAAGTCACAAGAGCAGGACAGACGTGAGGTGGTGGAAGGAACGAGCCTCCCAAAGGAGAGGACAGGGTCGGGGCGGGAGGGGCTTCTGACTATCCCAGCTCCCAAGCCCAGGGATGGGGGGAGGTCTCTGATCTCCCAGATTATTTCATTTAAGGGGGTTTGAAGACACAAATCATTAAGGAAGCTTTCTTAGGCCTTAGGGAATTCCCTGCTGTACTTCTGAATGGACACATGTCTGACACACAAGCACTGACTTTCTGAACTGCAGGAACTTTCCATGGAGTGTGTGCTGGGGCAGACATGTCTTTGGTGTGTTTGTATTAATTCAAGTTCCCTTATCTGAGAAAGGGACACATAAATAGTGAGTGTACCCCACAGGTCTTAATAAGCACACGGCTAGTTTGTTGTTTAGTTGCTAAGTTGTGTCCGACTCTTTCGTGACCCCATGGACTGCAGCCCGCCAGGCTCCTCTGTCCACGGGATTTCCCAGGCAAGAATACTAGAGTGGGTTGCCATTTCCTCCTCCAGAGGACCTTCTCGACCTAGGGATTGAACCCACATCTCCTGTACTGGCAGGCAGATTCTTTACCGCTGAGCCACCAGGGAAGACAGTAACTAACTGTTAGTTACTGGAACGTAAAAAAAAAAGGATGTTCTTCTCTCCTCTAGTAGGCTCTGACCCCAGGGTTAGTGGTCCCCAGCTTCACCCCTCTAGGATGGCTCAGGGGGTATCCCCCTGAACAATGTGGAGATGGGACACTGAGACAGAGAACACGTGCAGCTGCAGGGAGGGGGTGTCAGGCAGTTGGCAAGAGGCAGGGGCTCTAATGAGTGGCCAGGCCTTAGGTGACAGAGGCCTCCTCTGGGAGGATTCCCAAGCTCCTGCTAGTAAGGAGAAGAGAAATGCTTTACAGGAGAAAAGCAAACTCCAGGGCAAGAGCTGGATCAGGGCAGGAGTCAGCACTGGATTCAGAAGAAGAGGTTCCACTGCGGGGGTGAGAAGGCAACTGGGGGGCAAGGAGAGGTGGCAGCAGTCAGGAGGCCTCACCTTAGGCCTCAGATCCAACTCCTATCCCCAGAAACCCTTCACTCCCGCTGCTCTGTTTTTAGCTTTCAGACCCTCGTGCTCATCCCGTCTCTCACATATACCTCAGGCCTGGATCTCCACATCTCCAGATAGGCTCTGCTGTTTCCAGGGCAAGAGATCACTGACACTGTTCTCGTCCCTAAAACCCACTCTTCTTTTCAGTTACTCCATTCCGTCCTTAATGCCACCACTGTGCCCACCTCCTGGGTAGAAACTCTCAATTTAATCTCTGACTGGGTCTCGGGCAATCTACCAGACCAACCGGCATCACGGCCAGGACCAATCTCCTGGTCTTCCCTGATGCACTCACTCAGACTTAGTCCCTCCTTTCTTCAGGCTTCCACAGCACTCTGTTGCTGCCTGCATACATCACGGACTGACTTATTCCAGGGGAGCCTTGTGCCTGGATGGCTTCCTTGTCAAATCATGAGCTGGATCCTTGAGGGCAGGACTGGGTCTTACTAATTTCTGCTCTCTCAATGGAGTGGCTGCCACAATAGGTGCTCAAAAGGTTTGCTGACAGAACTGGGTCCCCATTGAAGCTCACTGCTTGCCTAAGAGCTCCCTCACAGCTTTCCTATTGCCTGCCTCTCATCCGGGCACTGGGAGACTTCTCACGGGGGTGCTGGTGTGGCAGTCCCCTCCTTCAGGGCCCTCAGAGAGGTCCCAGCTGTGCCCTTGTTGTGGCCCCTGGCACAAGTCCACCGCAGCCAATGGAAAAGTTGGGCTGGTCTCTCAGAAAACATAGCATTTGCTTTGCCAATTGCTGCTTCTGTCTGAGGGCGGGTCCAGTCAACAGTGTGAGCCTCAGAGTTCTCTGTGGGTGGGGTCCTCTGGCCACAGTGCCTTCTTCCCAGCTCTGGCAGATTTGAAGAATGGTCAAACAGAAGTCCTGGCTTCTGGGGTTCTCTACCCTCTGGGTCTAAAGAGCCCTAGTATGTAGTTTTTCCAGTAATCACCCAGCTGGGCCTGCTGGCCCTGTCTTCTCCCCGGAGCCAGAGGCTGGCCTTCCCTTTCCTGGCTGTTGGAGGCTTGAAGGCCGTGGACACAGGTGAATAAGGGAATGACTGTGAGGTGAGGCCCCTTCAGGTCCAGGGGCCAGGCCCACAGAGCAAAGGTGTGACTCATGGGACAGGCTGAGCTGATGAGCTGTCTGGAGCAGCTGAGCCTCTAGTGGCCGCATGAATCACCCAGCTTGCAGCCTGACTCACTGGGCAACCCTGGAAGAGCCTGCATGTGCCTCTTCCCTGCCACTCAGCTCCCTTGTCTCTAACGTATGGATTTCTCATCAATACAGAATTAGAGGGCAGAAAGAACAGGAGTGAATTCTCCCTGGGATCAAGGAAAACTGTGTAGTTAAGCAGTCCTCACTTGACAGCTCTCTCTTAGAAGCTTTGGGAGCCCTGGGCAGCCAGAGCAGCAAGGGATGAAGCGGGGGAACCCTGCTTGACGACAGGTGCAGCACCCCGTGGGGAGAGGATCATGGGATGCTGCCTGGAGCCCAATCCTGCTAGAGGCCAGGGATTCAAAGTAGGTACACAGGGGAGCTGCTCTGTGCCCCGTGCTGTGACCTTACACGCGGACTGTGTGTGCCCAGGGTCCAGCACAGCACTGGGCACATGGCAGATAGCCAGGCGTGCAGGGAATGGACGACTGCAGGTTTATGAAAGCAGCAGACCACTCTGCCCTTGTTCTTCTGTTCCTACTCCCCGCCCCCTGACCTAGCTCATACTGGATCCAAAGAAGGGGCTCTTTTTATTCTGGGGAGGGGGTCAGTGAAGTAGAAAAGGAGAGCTTTATTGCTCTGCCAGGCAAAGAGAGACACATCAGGCTTCTGCCTTGAAAAACTCTGTGTCTCCCAGAAGGTGCTCTTTGTCTGTGCCCACTGCTGACATGATTTGGTCAGAATTCCCTCAGACTGGAGTCTGGGAACTCAACCTCTCATGACCCTCTGAAGTCCAGCACCCAAGACCTCAAGAAGGAACTGCTGTCCGAGAGACTCTGGAGGGGAGTGGAGGGGCTGCTCACCTGTTTCCTCACATATTCTACCAACAATTCAAGGTGTCGAGGGTCTTCACATTTCTGGTTGAAGAAGGTTCTCCAGAGGGCGGCCGCCAGCCCACGGTCATCTGAAAGGATCCCCTGGAACACACAGCACAACTAGTCGTCTGGGGCAAACAGCAGAGAGCCAGGAGATAAAAGCTGGGGATATCACAAACATGAGAGCAACCCTAGGATCAGCTCAGAGGACATGACACAGAAATAGGGCAACTACGTGGCAGAGCTGGAAGGGGTCTTAGAGAGCATGTGGTCTGACCCCTTCATTTAATACAGAGGAAGAATGTGGGACCCAGAGGGGCCAAGTGACTGGATAAAAAGGTGGAAGCAGAGATGGGGTCGTATCTGATGGACCCTCCTAGGACACAGCTGCCTACAACATTGCCCAGGCCCAGCCAACACCTGAGAGGAGAGATGGGAGCAGCAGTAGTTCTAGTGCCATCCACAAGGAATGGGCTCAGCGTATTGTGAGTGTATACTTCCTCCTAAGAACAGAGTGTTAAGTGTTCTCCTCTCCTAGTCCAAGGACACACATCTGCACAGCAACTAGGTCTTTGGGGATGGGAGTCCGGCACCTTGGCCTCACTGTCACCCAGCTTTGGGTTGGCCCGGCCTCCTCCAAAGCAGAGGAACAGGCTGTCCGACAGGACTGCCACAGGCCACAGGGTAGTGCTCAGAACCTGTGTGTGCCTACCATCAGCTGTCCTGGCACAGCAGTGTGTGCTGTTGGGAAGCCCAAATATCAGAGGCCTGCATCATGGACTAGGGCCATGTTCTAGCTTGGAGCTCTGAGGAAGGAGAGGGGAAGGTCCTGCTTCCTGGGCAAGGGTGACTGAGGGACAGGCCCTGAGAAGTTGCTCTGTCCAGGTGCCAAGGCAGCATGTGGAACCAGAGGAAATGCTGACTGGGCCTTGGAAGTCAGTTAGAAGGCCAGATCATGTCCTGGCCCTGTCAGTCCCCAGCTCAGAGATGGTGGGCAATTTACTAATCCCAAGTCTCAACCTTCCCATCTGTTAAACAGAGACTAAAATCCCTGCCCTACTTATAGCATCTTTGAATTATAAGAGAGAACATAAAGGTGTTTTGTGAAGTGTGATGCAAAGATTAGGCTTTGGTGTGCAGCTGTGAATAGAACTGAAACAACAGTGGGATCTGGGGATCGGACCGCCTGAATTCAAATGGCAGCTCCGTCACTTGGCAGCTGTGTGCCCTTTGGAAAGCCACTAGCCCTTCCTGAGCCCTGGTTTCTCTTAACCCGAATGAGCAAAATAACACCTGTGCCACAGAGTCGTGAGAATTAAGAGATAATGGTCATGAAAGTCTTCGTAAGTGGTAAGGATATTACACAAAGAGCCAGGATCACTTATTCGATGTCCTGCTGTGGTCAGGCCCTTGGGGCACTGCGGTACCTGAGGTTTGGTACCTGAGGTCTGCTGCCAGGAAGGGCCATGTCCAGTAGGGGGTAGAGACAGTTTGAAAGAAAGACTGTAAACTGTTCACCTGTCTCAAATGCCCCCTACTAAACGCCCAACAATTCCACAGCTTAAGAGACTGTCCTGGCACAATGGCTGAGTCGGGAAAACCAACTTCTTCGGCAGATGGGGACAGGAGCCAAGAACAAGCTCGGGCACATCACCGTTCTCCAAGCTATTTGCTAACACAACAGCCTGCCTGTGTCTGAAGTGCCCTGGGCACATGCCGGAGTGCTGCTGGCAGCAACTCATATGTGCTACACGAGAGGGAACAGGAGTGGGAGCGAGTATTATGAGGACTTAGAAAATGAGCCCAGAGCACAGGACAGCAAAAGCCCCGGGAGCCAGGGCCTGCCACAGACAGGCAGCCTCGGCGATGGGTGAGATGGCTGGGAAGGGGCAAGTCTGTAATCAACTAGGAGGAAAAGGATGACTCAGAACTCAGACTAACAGTGATAACAACGTGACTGTTCCAGACTGTCAGAGTTTCTTCCCACACCTGCCTCTGATGGCCAGGTGGAAACTGTATGCCAGGAAGAAACTGTTACCCTGGCTGGGAAGATAAGTATGCTCAGAAGTTCTTGAGTGAACTGGTGGCTGATGTGAGGTCACGGGATGGCGCTGACCAGCTTGAGTCAGGACGTGGTAGCTGGCACAGAGCAGGAGCACGATACAAATGGCTGAATAAATCAGTGAACCCCACTTCAGCCCTCTTCCCACCACAGTGCTAACAAGTTGGAAGACAAATGGGAGACTGGTCTGAGGGAGGAAGCCGGAAAAAAAATGGGTGCCTAGAAGGCAAAAATTAGTTTGCATAACAATTTTTCCACAGTCTACTGGGATATCGACTTGTTTTCCCTCACAACACAAAAAAAGCATCCTTCCAGAAATTGAGATGCCTGGGTCTGGAGGAACTGAGAGGAAGCCAATGAACTCTGACCCTGGAGGACCCTGAAGTAGACTAGTGGCCCAGGGGCTGGGAGGAGCAGAGAACAGGAGAATAGTATTTACTATTTACTAGGCACAGTGTTTCAATTTGGGAAGATCAGAGGCAGTCCTGGAGATGGCTGGTGGTCATGGCTGCTCAACAAAGTGAATGTACTCAATGCCACTCAAATGTACACTTTAAAATGGTAAGCCTTATGTTATGTAAATTTTGCAATAAAAAATGAGACAGAGCTAAATGTCGTTAGGTAGGACATCCAAGGTATATTGCTCAGTTAAAAAAAGCAAGTTGCAGAATGGTGAGCATAGTATAACTCTCATTTGCATAAAGAAAACAAATCCATAGGTGCTTGTGTACAGGTAACATCTGTAAGGACACCCAATAAACTATTAACAAGGTTTTCCTCGGGCAGACAAGAAAAGGGGCCTTCTATTTTCTATTTCAACCACTTAGGCAGAGTTTCATGAATTTTTAAATGAGTGTGTATTGCTTTTATAATCGAAGCCCCCAAAAGTGTGCCTTGTCTGGCAGACCGTGCTGCTGATGTGGGCGTGCCTTCCTCTCTCTGGAGCATCTGGGGCTGAGATATTGACCAATCTGCCTGTGTCCCTCCATCCAGCACCCCACAGGCACTTAATAGACGCCGGCTAGTTGAATGATCTGACCATACTACGTAGTGCTTTCTTTCTCAAGTACTAGGCAAACTGCTGGGCATACTCATTCTGGTTGCTGAGTCAATGAAGGTGAGGAAATAGTAAAATACTAAGTAAAATAGTAAAATAATGGCAGGCAGTGACGACGGCCCCTGAAGCTTCTTTCAGAAGTTCTCATCAACAGCCTTTGTGGGGGAGGTCACTGTTCTGTCTAAGGCTTGGTAAACCATCTTACCTCATCATATCCTAAGATTGCGGCATAGAAATTATTTGTCATAAGCATCATGTTCTTCTTCAGGATATAGGAATTAACCTACAGAAACAAAATGGCAAAAACAAAAGTATAAAAGAAAGGAAAAAAACCATAAAGTATGATTTTTGACTCCTGACACGGACAGAACAGAGAAAGAGGGCCCCTAACAGGTCAAACTCCCGCCCCATCCTCCTATTTTCCTGGTCTGTCCAGATTCTCCCCAATTTGACAACTTCTTTTAGACTTTAGTCCCGACTTATACAAAGCAGTACTCAGTTTTATGAACTAAGCCCCAACTATGTGCAGGCTCTGTGCTGGATCCTATGAACACAAAGAAAAAGAAACGGCTTCTTGACTGGAGAAGCACATTGTCTAGTAAAAACAGATCTGTATTAATAAAAAAAAATAATCACACTGCAACATGTTACCTCAAATTCTATCCCCAAAGTGGAGAGTGATAAGTAAATTTTAGTATAAATGGTCCCTGCTTGAGGCGGGGGGGGTGGTGCTGCTGGGAAGTTCTCTAAGGAGGCAATGTTTAACTGGACCTCAGAAGAAGGGGAGTCTGACAAGAGAGGGGGGGGTAGGAAAGAGGACCTTCTAGACACAGGGGATAAGCTGTACAGGGTGCAGGGGCAGGAAAGAAAGTGAGGGAGGGTGAAAGGGCAGAAACAGAAAAGAGTCTGCTGCAGTGAAAGCACAAGCCGAGTGGTCAGAGGTGGGAAGAGGAGGAAGAGAGGCCGGGCTGTGAGTGAGATGCTGAGAGAAAGGTGGGCCCCTGAGGCTGTGAAGAGGAGGGGAGAACAGGATGGGCTGAGCTAGTGAGACTGCTCATGTGAACGGACTGTTCCAGAAACGCACTGTCAGTGAGACTGTGGAGCCTCAGGACAGAACAACCAGGTGAGCCTGCGGAACCTAGAGTGCAGTTCACGAAACCTCTTCAACAGGATGGAACTCTGACTCCAGGAATCTGCTTAAGAAAAGGGGCCCATGTTTCACTCCTCTCTGGCATCCCAGCAGACAACCTGGTGTCAAATGTAATACACAGAAAGGACTCGATGACTATTTAAACTGACAAGTTTCAGAAACAACCCAGAGTCATTTGGAACTTTACATGGAGAATAAGGTTTGTGCTTAACAACCATGACCGTTGCCCACCATCATCACCTCCATTTACTGAGCACCTGTTATGGGCCATGTGCTTTATGGACATCATCTCTTCAGTCACTGGAGCTCAGAGAGGTAGATATGCTATAATCATGCTTTTATAGACACAGAAAACTGAGACTCAGACAGGTGAGGTGACGTGCTCGAGGTCCCATAGCAAAGTAGTGATGAAGTATCCAGGTCAGTCTGAATCCCAAGTCCATGTGCCTGACATTCCATCAGGTTCCTGCCTCCGGGAAGATGATTTTACTTTGGGTCATAAATCAAATACTGAATGATTTCATCCTGTGGTTCATCACTGGTTTCTGAAGAAGGGCAGAAAGGAGTACTGAAAGGATCTGGATTTAGTCAGAAAACCTGGGTTCAAGTCATAATTCTGCTGTATACCTAGGATGCGATCTTGGGCAAGTCAAGTAACCTATCTAAGTCTATGTCCTTGTCTTTGAAATGCCCTACACAGAGGACTGGTTTGTAGAGCAAATGAATTAGCATGTACTTCATTCATCTGTTCACTCATTCATTTATGCCACAATGTATGCTGAAAGCCTTGGTAAGCTGCAAAGTGCTTTGCAAATGCAAGGAATTATGAGTAATACTTTCTGGTTTGTTTATATAAAACTAAAACCAGCTCCAATACTTTATAGTCATGGACAATTTTCAAAAAGAGAGAGAGAGAATTGTGAGACTCAGACTGGAAAATGTGAGACTGGATGCAGCCAGTGGTGCAATCCATGACCTTTCCCACCCCACCTTCACCCCAGGTCAAACAGCCACCCGTCCTTTGTGTTCCCAGAGCTCTCTGTCCACACTTCTCCTGGGGACACGACACCTGTCCTCTAAGGCATGAACCTGTCCCACTGGTTTGCCAGCAGCTCGAAGGCCATGAGGAACTCCATCTGATCAATCTCAGCACCCCTGACACCTAGGCTAGTGCCTGACCAGAGCAGGGTTCAGGGCTGGCATGCTGAGGATTGAATCCTCACAAGGCCTGAGTGCCACACAGAGTGTGTTCTATCCAGTCACATCCTTCTGTCTGCTTCCGTTTATTGCTCCTGAGTACCTTCCGTGTTTCAGAAATTTCAGAACTGCCGGACTTCTTACTGTGCCATCTTCCAGTATGGGTTAAGGTAGAGTCAAGAAACAGGCCAGAGCTCGAGTTACTTCCTTTTGCAAGGAGACGCTGGGACTACCACCCATCCTCCTGCTGAGGGGCTCCTCTCCCTCTTCCCGTATGAGTCGTTCTCCTAAATGTACAAGAAGAACCGGAGTGGGACAGCCCTGAGGGTCCAGTGGTTAAGACTTCGCCTTCCAATGCAGGGGGTGCGGGTTTGATCCCTGATTGGGGAGCTAAGATCCCACAAGCCTCGCAGCCAGAAACCAAAACATAAAACAGAAGCCAATGTTGTAACAAAGTCAATAAAGACTTTAAAAATGGTCCATATTAAAAAAAATCTTAAAAAAAAAAATCAGGGCCACAAAGGGATGATGTCAGAGATGTCAAGCACAAACACAGCAACTGTCCGAGGTAAACATTCACTGAACCTGCTCAGCAGAGCCGGCTTGTGTGTTATGTCAAACCAGTCAGCTTGAGAGCTAGAAGGGCCCTCAGACGTCACCTTACTCATCCCTTTGAGGAAATGGTGAACTGAGACCCCAAAGGGGAAGGGACTTTGCCCCCCAGGTCCCACATCAACTTAGTCTCAGAGCCAAGATAAGAACTGATTTCTGGATGGATACTTTCCCTATTTCACCATGTGCAGGGCATTTCCAGAGATCACCAACACATTAACCTGCAAATTTCAATTCCTGCTTTCCAATAAGGCTCATTTACATACAGACATCCTTTCTCCTCTTGGGATGCACCTGAGTTCTGGCCCACTATTGCCCAGAAGGAATGGAGAGGAGGAGTCCAATTCCTTATGAGCAAGGATCCTCTACCTCCTGGTTCTCTATTATAACTCTGGTGACCTATAAACTGCCTCTCCCCTCACCTCCAGCTGAGAGGTGGCAAGCTGCCACAGCTAGGAATGGTTTTTAGATATCATCACTGAAGCAGGATTAGATCATGAAAAGGGCCCTTCCTGGAAGAGGGTGGAAGCTCCATCAATGCAGACACATGATCTGCAGGCAACAGGTGAGGGTAAGTGACAGCAACTTCCTGAACTATTGGACTAGCCCTGCGGGGCCCTTCTAACCGGCCCAGCAGCCCAAGGGGGCTGAATATTCCCTCCGGTGAACCTCTGTTGAAGCTTCCCAGGTGAAGAATCCACCTGCTGAGGCAGGAGATGTGGGTTCAATCCCTGGGTCGGGAAGATTCCCTGCAGAAGGAAATAGCAACCCACTCCAGTATTCTTGCCTGGAGAATTCCATGGAGAGAGGAGCCTGGCAGGCTTCAGGTCATGGGGTCACAGAGAGTCAGACGTGACTGAGCGCAGACAACACACAGAAGCTCTGCTGGGATCTTATCCCCTCACTTAGGCTTTTGTCTGCTGGCGTGCAGGTCCTCACTGCCAGCTAATTCCATATGGAGCAACCTGCCCATGAACGCACAGATAGACAAATCAGATGAGAGACTCTCCCCAGCTAATGCTGGGCTGTTCTCTTATTAAACTCTTCTCCTTTCCATAATGCTTTCCTTTTTTATAAAAACCCATACATATAGCACCACCACAAGGAAAAGGTTCCTTTTATATCAGTTACTCATATTTTCCCATTTATTTAAGCTATTAAAATTCATGCAGATATTTTATAAGCCATCAGGATTTGGTGACTGCTATTACTGAATGTTTAATAATAAACGAAACAGAAGAAATCAGAGGGTTAAATGATGACTGCAATTCCTGTAATGACTTAATTAAATTTTTATTGAGTACATAAACTATGATGTCACTTCTAGCCAACCATGGGTCTGCTTTCCTAGCATGTCACAGGGTGGGAGCACTCGATAGGAGGCTAGGCTAAATGAGCACCAAGTCTCAGCTGAAATGGGGAGGGGAGCAAGGCTCATGTAACACACTCAATAAATTACCCGTTCATTTTTAAACAAAGTCCATGAGTTATAATATATTTGCCATGCACTTTTTATGACATAATAAAAATGTTACCTTAAGGATTACTTAACACGTACTACAAATGTTACAGCAGAGGCAGGCACAAGGGGCAAAGAAAACAAACACGAGCAGGCCAGGGACGGGTCCTGGAGTTTACGTCCCGGGGGGACAGCACAGTATATTAAAAAGGCGATGCAAAAATGGTGATGGGGGTGGGGGACAAGAGTTCAGGGTTACTAATCAGCAGATTAATGAATGAGACAACCAACAGGGAACACAAGTAAAGCAATAATGAATCCTGCAAGGCACATGCTTAATTAATGTAGTATCCTCAGGGAGGAATATTTGCTTTAAAGAGATGCCAGTTCGTCTGAGGCCAGTTCGCTGCCCTCTTTCCCCTTTTCTCTGTCGCTGCTCTTAAAGACATTTATGTGGCTGCTTAACGGAGGAACTGATGATGGAGGGACTGATGGAAGATCAAGCTGAAACTCCTCCGTGAGCTCTGTAAGGTTCCTAGTGATGTGTTCTTGGTCGTCTTTCCTGCCTCACCTCCTCCCATCTCCCTACTTCTATCTCACCCTCCGTCAGAGTAAACGATGTGCAATTTCCACAAACATGTCATGTTCTCTCCTGGGTCTCAAGCATACTGCTGCCAGGAATCCTCCTTTCTTTATCCACAGGGATGCTAACTCCTTCTTATCCTCTAAGACTTAGCTTACAAATGATGTCTTCTAAAAAGCTTCCTCTCTACCCAGTCTACAGGTGCTAGAAAAGTGTCTCAGAAACAGTCCCCATAATTCACTGTTTACCATGTGCCAAGAACCACGATAAGAGCTTCATACA